TACAAAATCCTCTTGTCATAGGCCTAAGGTTCACTTTCATTTTCTTGTAACATTAATGTAATTCATTAACATTCTTAATTTTTAACTGTAACATGTTTGCAGCTCAAAGGTCAAGTCGGGGATTGCAGCTGCTCCGTTGGAACTGTGGACCATTTCAACAATGTCAAAGTCTACCCAAGATTGGCCAGCCTCATTACCAAAGAATACTTCAGATTTTATAAGGTATGTTTTTTACTCCAAATTAAGGAAACTCAATTCGTAGACATACCAGTAAAAAGCCCAATCTTAATTTAAAACCATTTTGTTTGATCGTGGTATTGGAAATCATATGTAAAAAGCTATACATTTTTAACAAACTGTATCTTGCTCAGGAATAAAATTGAGGTAGGCAGTTCATAATCTTATAAAGACTAGGACCGTGGCATCGTCCTGTAATCCAGCTACTTGGAGGTCATGAATTGTGGATATTTATAGGCATGAACAGTGGATGCTCACTGGTGTGGATTAACGTCCACACTACTGAGTACTACGACTATCTGCAGTACTATCCTGATTACACCAATTCGTTAATTACAAACACAGAGAAGTAAAATATAGAGGAAACATTCAATGGTACACTTAAGTCGTGTCTAGCACCAGTCGCTTGTGTCTAGTTCAAATTCTATTGGTCGTTCCCTACCGCTCTCCTCTCACGCCTCACCTTATATACTATAGCGCTCACGCTGTAGGAAGAGCCTGTGTAGTACAACAGCTGTTGTAAACAACAGCTGTTGGGGCTCTTCCTGAGCATTGTATGGGTAGACACGTTATTGTGAGGATAGAGGAAGTACTATTGAAACAGAAAGTAAAAAGGCTACAATTTTATCAAGCTTTCAAATACAACTCATCTCTATCTCGGGTCAAACTCATCTGCTGGACTAACGTGAAAGACTCATTCAGTGTAAAAAGTTCTTGGACCAATGCCAAATCATCAGGGTTTTACTTTATATTTTGATTTATCCAAGATTCTACTTACTTGTGAACTTATTACATAGGCCTAGGTAATAATATCATTATGCATGTGTGTTCAGAGCTAATTTTGGGTGGTGTGAAGCCCAGTGCTAACTTCTGAGCTGGACCCTTGTGTACTACCGGTACCAAAATAGTAGTATTTAAACAATATTAACTAAAACAAATCTCATTGTATCCCCTCTTTTTCTTTTTTGTTATAATTGAAGGAGTTAACGTAAATCACAGTCTTTTTGCAATTTTTTGTATTTTGCACCAAGAGCACTTTTAAAGGTGCGGGGGCTTTGTACCTTTTGCACGTGCCAAAGGCCGTCTAAGTTAATGTGTAGAAGACTAACTTTCTAAACAGTTCAAACATAGATATTTAATTTTAAATGCTTGCCTACAGTACAAGAACTAACCAGGTTTTGAAATGTTGATTGTGATTTAAGGTTAATTTGAAGAAAGATTGTCCATTTTGGTCGGACAACAGTAGATGTGCAATGAGATACTGCAGTGTGGAGCATTGTCTGGATGTAAGTAGTTTGTCTGGTTTTATAAATATATATTCATAATCTTTGAATATTGATACAACTATACAATTCATTCCCATGCTAAAGTTGTTTAAGTGTTACAATAAAAATCCTCGTAGTTGTTGTGAGCCAGACAGATCGTACTGATCTAAAATACTTATTGCTGTCGAACACACAAACATTTTTGCCAAGTCAAACTAATGGAATGACTTATAGTGAGCTATAGGTAACTCTGTTATGACCCATAACTTTGGTCAGCCACAAAAAAGGGTATAAAATAGAATTTTAAACACTAGTGTGAACTTAGCGTTCTCACTCAAGCATGTTTTTTAAATAAAAATATGGTGACAGCTGGTCCATATAGATGAGATGTCTTTTGTATCCAATAGTCAGTGGTTCAATACAGGGTTCATAAAAAACAATTACAGTAGAGAGTCGAAAATCCGAACGTCAAAAATCCGAAACGTCAAAAATCCGAACCACTCCTGAGGGTTTAAAAATATTTAATTAGCACAGAGACAACAGATGTTTTACAATTTTGCGGGCCAAACAGTCAGCGCCTGGCAGGGAAATGAGAAAATCCAAACAAATCGGTAATCTGAACTACCTACGGTCCCAATTGGTTCGGATTTTTGACTCTCTACTGTAATAGGGTTAGCTGATTGAGCAATCTTGAAGACTCCTTATAAACGTTTGAATGAACAATGAGCTATACTGTACTTAGTAGGGTAGTTATAAATGAACTTTTTAAGTCCACTAGCAGCATTGACCATTGCCCAAAATGGAATATTTTGGGGGGCAACCCCTGTTTTTTTTTTTAAACAAAATAGCAGCCATTTCACATTTTTAAATCTTTTAAGTTACTTGCATTGTTTGTCTGCAGGTTTTCTGTGACAGGTTAATAATCTTAAGACAAATAGTATGCTTTGTTAATTTAAAACTATTTTATTTTCAGGATGCTCCCCCGCTTATAAAAAGTTACTCGTCCAGAAAGAATCAAGTTGAAGACATGAGTGTAAAGGTAAGAGTATAACTGTTTGTTTATAAACCGAATAACGAGGATTATGCTTTCTTTTATTTTTAAATAACACTGATGGCTAAAACCACATTATAAAATTATGATACTATAATAATTGTTAAGATATTTGATCTCACCTCTGTAGTCCAATCAACCATCAACCAAAGGATTACATATTTATAATGGATATTGTGTATAAAAGAAAAGGCTATGAATAAATTGAAACTGGAAAAAATATTTCATCAATATCAGTAAAGAGAAAGTTTAGAGGTGAAATTATTTGACATTCTTTGCTTGGAAGTTGGATTGAATATTTCTGACCATCAATATTTTTAAGTCACAAACCTCTCCATAAACTAACTTAAATTCTGTGATTTAAATAAGGAAATTTTCCTGTTTTAAAATAGTTTAAACAAATTGTGTGTTGTTACTTAAATCGTCAACTTAAATTGTTGGTGGGTAGGCGATTGTCCGCTCCTAGTCTTAAAACCATTACGACGAGGAGCTGACATTGGCTTGGGGTCTTAAGGCATAATATACTCAAAAAAAAATTTGATTGAAGATGTAAGTACGGTAATTGCAATATTTCATCATTCAATTTGTGCTACAAATCTTGCAAAATAAACAAATTATTTGGACTATTTTTATTTTTGTTACTTTTCATTTTCATGAGATTCTAACAATAGCCTTTACATACTAACGTTCAACACTTAATTATTTGCTTGTTTCAGTTTATAATGTGTTGTTTTAGTATTTGGAGCCGTACGCTCAAGGAGAGTGTGATTCCGACTTGAATGCAGAGCTAGGTTACCTCAACACAACAATAAGGTTTGTGCTTTAGATTGTAACGTAGTATTCCAGACACGGCTAGATTTAGGCCTACCTTGGTCTAAGCGGACTTGTGGAACCCCCCCCCTTGAGTTTGAGGGACTTCGCTTCAAACCGATAAGTGATAACTTGTAGTAACTTGCCATTAGAGTAACCTCACTTGGAAGAACAGTTTGGGTTGCTGGACAGCCTTTCAAACAGTGGACAGTGCGACTGACCCAGAACTAATTCACTTTTGGATTTTCCGGGATTCCGGATTGTGGGGCCAATTCATCTGGTTGGAGGGAGGGGGAAAATTTGTAATTTAAGTTAGGTTAGGCCTATGTTCTATGTTCCTAATATTCTTGTTCCTTAATGTATTTGATATTTCAGCGGGTGGCCACCGTCAGCGTATTTGTATAGATAATTAAGTTGTTTGGATATATTACTTGTCTCAAAAAGGGTCCATTTATTTAGATTAATAACTTGTTTACATTATCTGATTTTTGCCAAAGTGCCTTAACCATTGAGATTTTGTATAGATTTGTATTGTATCTTTGTTGTCAACGTCATTATTCTGATTTCGAGTACCAACATTTGTTTGCTATTAACTCTTGTACCTTGTTTGAACTTTCAAAAGTGCCTTAAACACAATCATTGATTGAAGTTAATTGTATTCTTTCAGAAATATCATTCTTTTTATTGATCTCCTCAAACTTGTCTAGGTTAGTGGACAATCAAACAACAGATTGCAAGTGTGGCTTAGGCCAATTCTTTTCAGTACAGTTAAACAGATTTTGCCTAAATTTGAGAGGTATTAACCTTGCTTGGTTGGATAATTTCCTTCTGGTATCTTATTATCTTAGTCTTAAGTCAGTTGGTACATATTTATTTGAATAATATTGGGTAATGTATATTTGCATAATTGTTTGAGATTGATCAGGTAGACTTACTAAATACAGTAGGGTATTGATGTTACGGCATCAGACATGAAAATCGGGTTAGGTTCAAAGAAGAACCTAACTTTAACTTTAACTTTAACTAACTTTTTTGAAGTTTAACTCTCTGCCTTACTACCATAGCAACCACGAGAAGAGTTTTTCTCTCCGTTGTAAACTCTTATGAGAGATCTCCAAACGGAGTGGCGCCCTCTAAACCGAGCTAGTACCAATAGACCCGGTTGCTATAGAAGTAAAAGGTTAAAAGGAAGATATTTGTTAAGCTGGGTTTTCCTAGACGCGGAGTCGGCCAGCGGAGAGCGGACAACGGAGAGCGGACTCAGCTTGTCTTAGGTAATTTAATGTTACTGTTTTCCTAGCAGCGGAGCGGAATGCCATGTTAATTTTAATTCCGCTCTCCGTTCTCCGCTCTCCGCTGGCCGACTCCGCGTCTAGGAAAACCCAGCTTAAGTGAACCCGACCCATCTCCCTGAGCAAAGCCCGGCACAGCAGTTTGTGAGGCTGCAACTTCCCGCTCCTGCTCTTGTGATGTATGTTCTCACGCTGTCCCACCATCTTCTTTTAGGCCTTCCTGGTTGTCTTCTCCCGCTCGGGAAGAACTGCTAGTTACTTAATAAATAGATGCTCTTTCGTACAAAAAATTTAATTTGCAATATTTAAAATTTTGAAATCTTATTTACATTCATTTGTAATAGTTATTAAACAAAGTGTGTAGCTTATAAATTCTCGATTGATACTTCTCTTTAGGGGTCATTTCTTCTTTTTTTATTAGGTCCTGAATCTGAAACAGATGGTTCCCAAACATTAGAGTATTTATTAATTGTTTTTATTGTAAAAATGCTAGGTCTCTGCTTTTGAAAATTATTCAAAAAAATTGGATTTCTTTTTTTGCATTTTTTCACAATTTGCAAAAAAGAAACAGGAGGGATTCCTGAAATTTTATTTTATTCTAAATCTGCTTTCTTTTCTGAACAAAAAAAAAGTATGATTATGACTAGGTTATCAACAGTACTTTAGGCACTGCGAACTTTTAAAAAACCTCTGCAAAATGGCCAAAATTGCCAGGGCACCGGGCATTTCTGTGTACAATATAGTATTGGCTGCTCATATTTATTTTTAACATAATCCAGGTCAGGACAGTCCTAGGGTCCTAGGAGGGGGGGGGGGGGGATACCAAGACGAAAATGGTGTTCGGATTCCACTATAAACTGTTGGTCCCATGGTTTTCATTAGCTGTATGGGCTATTAATTAACAGTTGTGTCTTAGGAATATGTCGACCTTAGTCACTAACAAGACTACAACATCGCGTCACTCATCCTACACTCATCTCCATTCATACTTGGCTTAAAATACCTACTTTGTATGGTTGCCATTTCAATGAAAAGTATTAAGGTATTAACATGGTATTAAGTATATTAATTATTAAGTGAATTACCTTCTTTTCATTTATCCTCAATTTTTTGCAGATGTCTTGTATGTCGTTGCTATCCAAATTACTTTTCTTTATTATTTTATTTAGTATACGCTGTTTAGATTTTTCAAAACTCTTGAATTTTTTTAGAACAGATGTTCTTTTTTTTTCGATAGTAATTTTGTCTTGAACACCAATTGTATGAAATAGTGTACGAACAAAAAGTCTTGTTAATTTTGGAGCTCTGCCCCTGATTACTCCAACTATTAGTGCTAAGATGAATGCCTTTTCTGCAATGGTTATTTTGATCTGCAACATACCAAAAATAAATTTGTATCCTAATTGTAGAGATCAATAATTGGTAGTATTTTAAAATCCTAGAGAAATTCTGCTGTCATAGAAAACTGCATCCTCGGCTTGGCATTGCAGCCATAACCAAGATGCCGTACGCAACGCAGTACATTCTAGTCAAGCAACTCTAACCAACGATACACATTCAAATACACTAGTAACTATAGACACTACAAATAATGTTGAAACAAGTAACAATTATCATCATATTTTATTTGGAGAAATCAAGTTTAACTTAATCTCGGTTAACTTTAATCGGTTAACTATTATATAAGAATTTCGTTACTTGTGTTTAATTAATCTCAAACTTAATCAAACAGTAGGCCTACTGCACGCATAAAGTAACTGCATTAATTACAATCATGTGAAAATAAAATGTTGGGAAAGACGCAAAATTAATGTTTGTGGATTAAAAACTATAGAGCCTAACAGCCTAACCTTTGTAATGACAGGCATAGGCTACTCAGCATTAGATACGTTCGATCAATGTTTCTAAACTAAATTTAAATTTCAGGCCTAGGCCTACTACAGTAGCTGTTAATTCAAACATGATAATAGGCTAGTGGTTAGGCCCGAATGTTAACTAATATTTACTTTTGTGTAACGTAAGAATCAGGTTAAAATAAAATCAAACCAAAAGGCTTATTATGAGCGATTAAACTTTCCAACCAATGTTGCGTTTCTGTGGACAAGGTAACCTATCGATTGTACACAACTACAATACTACCTACCGAAAATATAATAATTTAGGCCTACTTTACGCATTTAAAAGCCTTAAAACCATTATATCTGTAGCCTTATGTTTTTAAATTTGAAATAGTCATGAAGGTTTGCTATTTCTTAATTTATTTCCAGTTCAGTTTATTTTAGGTTATGTTTGACAAGACAAACGTCAAACAAGGATATTTTTTGTCATTGCCGTCTGCCGAACGTAACTAGTCAGCCAAGAGCCAATCAAAATCAAGCTATTCTTCTTCTCTTCTGGTTTAACCCATGAATCGCCAGTTAAACCAGCCTCACCCGGAGGGTTAACTTAAACCTAGTTTAAACGGAGAAATTATTTTGGGGAAAGTGGATCTGAGGTTAAACTAGAGTTTAAACCACGATCAGAGTTAAACTTGATTTGGGGAAAGCGGCCCTTAGAGTAGTACACAGTTGGTCACGTGACAGCACACTGTCTTTTTCTGTCTGAAGATCCAGATCCGCCATCTTGATCTTAGGATTAAGATAGAACCTAGAACCTACACTGTCATTAACCTCAATAACGTCTGTTTCTAATGAATTTCTATCGATTTCCAGTCCATGAAAGAGAACTGATTCTGGGATTTCTCCAAATAAAATATGATGATAATTGTTACTTGTTTCAACATTATTTGTAGTGTCTGTAGTTACTAGTGTATTTGAATGTGTATCGTTGGTTAGAGTTGCTTGACTAGAATGTACTGCGTTGCGTACGGCATCTTGGTTACTAGTATCATTGTTGGTTGTAGTAGGCCTAGTTCTTAAATTATATGCTTTATCTTCCATAATATTTTATAGGCCTTAATATTGATTAATAATAATAGTTCAATATATGGATGAGGTGTTGTGAATGATATATAGTTATGGATATGCACACAAGGTTAGTTATTCTTATGTTTAAAATTTAGGCTGAAATAGGCCTATTACATCGAGATAGGTTTGGAAGTTATTTTGTATTGGATAATATCACATAAGCTACTTTTTTGCCACACGTTGCAGGCGCCAATGCAAAGTTCTTTAATCTTTCCTGTAAATAAGTAATAAATAAATGTCCAGGGTTTACAATGATGAATACATATAAACCTTTTATTAGTCAAATTGTACAAATAAGTAGGGTTATAAATTTAGATGAAACTCAATCTCAGGGTTCTAGGAATGTGCCGGCTTAAAGTAGGCTTATGTGATGTTGGATAGGCATAAGCCTAATGTTCTTCACAAGTTATGTAGGCCCTACAGTTCAATTTACACTTTTGAAAAGAAGAAAGTTCAAATTTTGAATTTAGTAAAATTATAATTTAGGTAAAAGTTCAAAACGGCAAAAGTTAATAGAAATTTTGGAATGTGAGTAGGCCTATTTAGCTAAGTACAAGTTCAATTTGATCTCACCCAAAAGTTTATAGTAGTCTTCTCCACAAATATATTTCTTGAGGTAAAAATTATATGTATTAAATAATTGAGAAAATCTTGATATTTTAAATACTGTTAAGTTAATCACCAATTAAAATTTTTTAATCATCTTCCTGTCTTGCTTCTTCATTACTTATTCTCAATTGAAAAATCTTGATTCTTGATGTTCAATTTCATACATCTGTTTCAACAATTAGTTCACTGGTTTCTTGATGTCACTATTCACTGTTACTTTTATGATTGGTTGATATTATATGAAGAGTATTTTAATTACATTTTTGAAAGTGAAAGAGAAAAATAATTTTGTAAAATAATTCAAACTGTATAAATAACTTCCAGTGATTATAAATGTAGCTTATTAAATAAATGACAGTGTTTGATGAGAATGTGAAATATGGAAATTTACAATAGGTGGAACCTTTTGCCCTTTTACTGCATGTAAACACATGTGATAATTTAGAGGTATGAATTTAGCTAATAGTAGGCCTAGGTGTTTGGATACATAACACATGGTTTATTAACATTCAACTTATATACAAATTCAAAAGTAAACAATAGGGATAATTTTGGAACATCTCACTAAAAAACATAATTTGATTCATTTTTTAACTCTTCAATTTAAGGTGTATTTCCCCAGTTATAATTATATAATCCTATATATTTTGGTCTAAGAACCTTAAGTGAAATCCCGGCTTTCATTTAAGCTATTAGTTATTCAAATCGGACGATTTTCAAAAAACGGAAGGTGAACAACCAACATAAAAAATATTTTTCATAAGGTTTTTCTATGATTAAAAATCAATCTCTCCAGTATTGTTTATGTTTTTTATATGTTTTAGACTCAAAATAATCAGTAAATTATATGCTTTAATTTGAGCTATTGTCCGTTTGAATCAGTTATGCTCAAGATATCATAAGTTTGATTATTTCTCGGATATTATATTTATTTTAACGCTGCGGAGCAGCATGGGTCCTCTAGTTTAATTGATTTTTCTTTGATTAAATATTGTTGTCAACAATTTGCATTTGTGTTTAAAGTGCGTTTCTTATGTTAAGTGTGTGATTCTAATGTTATGAGCTTAATATGTAGGCTACCAAATATTAGTTATTAAAGTGGTGTATGGATTTCATAACCATTATTTTACTAGAGTACGTTGTATTTAAGGGCGCGCTTTACCCGCAGTAGAAATCCTGCGATCGTTGTTGCTAACGCCAGTTACGCCGTTATGAGTTGGGAGCGCTAGGAGCGATGCGGCGAGAGGGGAAATGGCAAGATGGCCGCAACTGGCAAGCAACGAACTCCGGGCTGCACAGCGCTTGAGACTGAGATGGCTCTCGCACGCGCAGTCGCGCCCGCCCGCGCACCACTCACTGCCAGCCACGGCCACAGTAGAGTAGACCAGCGCTTTTCGGTAGCCTTGCCTCGTCGCATCAACACAACCACACAACTCAAACTAGGCTACTACTGGGTGTAAGCGCTCCGATGTCGCGTACAGTATAATCATAGACTAAGCAACAAGTTTGTTTCATCTATGGTAGAATGTAGCGAAGTAAGCTATGTTTGTTATTCAAAATTATTACTTTTTTTCTACACCATTAGACATCTTAAAATTATGGACATTGGCAGTAAAAAAAGGAAATTTGTGTACATGACGTACAAATACACATTATAATTTGTCCTTCACTATATGCAAAGTATACACAACAAATACATAAAGGGTACCTAATATTATTTTATTTTCCAACAGGACCCTAGTCCACATCCTGGATTACATCGCAACTATTTAAAAACTCGGTAGGATTATAAAATTATTTGAAAATATATTTATTAATAAGGATTTGATGATTGAGTTGATTATGGATTATAGATTTTGATGATTTGATGAATTTAAACTCGGATATAGACCCTAATAGAATTTATATCCTATCTCTGATGGGTAGCCCTCTTGGGTATCTGGGATCAATAAGTTCTGGCAGAATGCATTTGAAATAGAAGTCAGTTAGTGGATTTTCCATATTCTTCCTCCAGAACTCATCGTCTCTCATGATCTTCTCCACTGACAAACCATGAGGTGTCCAAACTACAAACAAACAGTATTTCAATTTTGTTAATTTATATTATTACAGTATCTTGATTACTATTTTATTTTTTATATACAATAATAATGATTGTGCAACATTGAATTTCGTTTATAAAAATGCAAATCGTGACGTTAATGGCTGTTTACAGCGTTTTAATGAGTTTGTCATCTGTTTTTATACTATATTGGATTAACCGTATTTTTCATTACCCCCCCCCCTCTCCCTATTAACTCAGGTAATCGAGTATCTATTAGTAGTATTGTATTGTAGAAGTATTGTAACCTATGCTACTTGCTACTTGATTGTATTTTAACGAGCTTTATGTCAACAAAGCGGTTTGTGTTAACTCGCGGTGTAGCTGGACGTGTCTGTACCACGTGTTATCTATTATCTATCGCAGCAGATGAGCCATTCCGTGCCCTTTCTCTTAGATCTCACGACTTGCTAATCTTAAATAATAACTTTCTACACGAATCCTAAACTATCCTAAAATCCAATTTAACTAATTTAATTAAATAATATAACTATTACGGCGACTTCGTAATATATTTTGGATTGTTGTCACGTTGAACACTGTTGCAATTAGCTTTAGCCCCCCCCCATTTGAATTTTTTAGCCCCCCCCCCAAGAATTTCAATGACGCAGTCTGCGTCACAGCCCCCCCTTGTGGGCACCCCTGCGCTTGCAGATACTAGGCTGAAAAAAAATTGGTAGTTTAAATAATGATTAGGTTACCTTTTTTAAACCTTTTAATGATTATATCCCGCTTATGGTAATCTAAAACACATTTAAAAAATTGCCCGCGCGTTTATTGTATTGAGTATAAACAACTGGTACTAATAATTTGATTTTTAACAATGGCCCCCTGTTATTTACTTATCCGGTACACACAGATCTAAGATTTATTTGTACATTGTTTATTACTATATTTCACTGCACAAAGTACTAGCTGATATAGATTGTATAGATTTTTGCTATGGATTATAAACAAAACAATGACAGTCTGTTGGTAGCTATAACCCTTATAACAGTTGTTGCCTTATTTGTCATAAGTTCGCCTTATTTTGACAATGACCTTCAAACCTATAAAGACAGTTACGGTACTTATTTTATCTGCTTATTAATTGGCTTATATTGATTCCTAAACATAATTAACAATAATAATAACAATAATATAACAAACCACTCACCAAATATTTCTCTTTCTTTCCCACCACTTATCAAGATTCTTCGCTGTAGACCTTTTCCTTTTAGTGGAAAGTGTCAAATGTCGTTTGACACGAGTTTTCCTTGAAGTTCCAGGCATTTAAAAACTCACTTTTAACTATCTCTAAACTTCACAAACACAGTTATGCTACCAGTACACTATCGCCAAACATTCGCCCGAATGTTTCGCCGAATGTTCGCGTTAGTTTGCGACCGCGAATGTTGACGAATGTGAAGCCCAAACGATCCCGAACTAACCAAGTACACTATCGGCTAACTTCGGCCGAACTGTGTTGAGTCCAATATTGCGTATTCGTGGCAAAACATTCGCACCAAACCCCAAACCGCTAACGTCAAAGACTATTCTAGAAAATTATAGAGGAAATTCTATGATTTCCGTTACAGTAGTTTGAGTTAGACACCACTTGAATGTATCCTATGTTTCTTACTTCTCTGTGGCTTCGTAATGTAAAATTAATGCCAATTTTTTTTATTAAAATGTTTGTTGTCTTAAGCGATACTTTATTTATGTATATAGGCTATGCAATTAAATCATCCCACGGCCACAGAACAGGCTCACTACGGTATAGTTCCAAAAATAACAGTGATTCCTCATTAGAACACTCCATACTTTGTACAATTTATTTATATAAGATCTAGTAGTAAATAATTGATTAACAAAAACTAAAAGTATCTCTAACTACACCACCGCTGCAGTAAATACTGTAGAAAGAGTGTCCATGACTACGAATGACAGCGAGTGTGTACTGGCTGTGTTCGTGCCCGTCTGCGATCGGCATTCGTCCTAGTTCGTCTCCTTTGATTCGTGACGGGAGACTGCCAAAAAAGCGAGCGCACCCGAACACGAATGTTGGCGATGCGAACTACCCCAAATGTACACGAGCACAGTACACTATCGCGCTCGTCTTAGGCCCCTATTACACGAGGTAGCCTGGCGACGCACAGGCCACCAAACCTATAACCAGTTGAGTAGCCAGAATTTTACCGCCGTGGCGCCGTTGTTGTGAGTGCTTGTCTTGCACTTGTACTTGTTATGAGCGGTGTTTACAGTTAATAATGAGTGATTATAAGTATCTTCTCCTTCTGTTACTTCTGAAGAAAAGGAGGCAAAGGAAGAGAAAAATGTACGTTCATCCAATGCTTAGTGCAAGAGAATCAAAAGGGTTATATTACGCCCTTTTTGATGAGCTCTGTGCGGACAATACAAAATTTTTCAATTATTTTCGTATGTCACAATCTAGTTTCTTTGAGTTGTTAGGTCTCACAACACACAGCACAACGGTGTGCAAGTACCCCCGTGATATGAACTGACCGAGTGGCGACGTGATACTGGCGACCTAGTGTAATAAGCTCCATATGCTACAACGCAGCGTCGCCAATATGGGTAGCCAGTGGCTACCACAGTGGCGACGGGGCTCGGTAGCCAGTCGGTCGCCAAAGTGTGGCTGCGTCGCTGGCTATCCTCGTGTAATAACATCCATAAGAATCAATGCCCCATGACAAGCTGAGTAGCCAGTTTGGTCGCTGGCGACGTCGCCAGGCTACCTCGTGTAATAGGGGCCTTAGTTCGCCTACATTCGGCGATAGTGTACTGCAGGCATTAAACACAGAGGTAGAGTAGCGCCGGGTTTGACAGATGGAAACACGTGGATCAAGCATTGGAGGGGTGAGAAGCGGTGCTGAGAGGGGGATTTCCGGCGAGCTTCCCCGAGCTGCCGCTAGACGCCGGCACCGCACAGTGGTAATTTTTAATTTGCAGAGGTTTCCAAGATTACTCTTTTCGAATTA